TCAGGGCAGGTTACATCAGATTTGATAAAAATACATTATATAAAAATTAACACAATTAAAACAACAATAAAATACAGCCCTGTCCTTTATCCGGTGCAGTTGACATTAAAATTAAGGCCTCACAGATGCCATCTCTGGTGTGCAGTTCTGACCCACTGAGGGGAGGCCCTGTAAGGGAGGAGGGATGTCTGTCGCCCTAGTTAAAAGCCTAGGGGAAGAGCTCCGTCTTGCAGGTGCTGTGGAACTTTAAAAAGTCCCGCAGGGCCCTGGTCTCGTATGGGAGCTCATTCCACCAGGTAGAGGCCAGGGCTGAAAAAGCCCTGGCCCTTCGTTGAGGCAAGACGGATGTCCCTAGGGCCAAGGACCATAAGAAGATGTTGATTGGCAGATCGTAAAGCCCTTGGGGCTCACAGAGGGAGAGGCAGAGATATGCAGGCCCCAGGCCATATAGGGCTTTAAAGGTAAGCACCAACACCTTGAAGCAGATCCAGTACTCAATAGGCAGCCAGTGCAGCTCACACAGCACTGGACAGATGTGGGCCCACACAGGCAGCAACATCAGTACCCGTGCCAGTTTCTGGAGCAGAGTCAAGGGCAGCCCCATGTAGAAAGAATTACAATAATCTAATCTGGAAATGACCATTGCATGGGTCACTGTAGCCAGATCCCAGGGAGTGAGATATGGGGTCAACTGCCTGATCTGTCTCAGATGGAAAAAAGCAGACCTGGCAGTGACAGTGACCCTGGCCACCATAGTTAGTGAGGCGTCCAGGAACACCCCCAGGCTCTTTACCTTCGGCACCAGTACCAATAGGGGCATCGTCAAAGGTTGGGAGCTCGATCCCTGATCCCAATCCCCTGCGACCCAGGTACAAGACCTTTGTCTTCGATGGATTCAGTTTCAGTCTACTCTGCTGTACCAACCAGCCGCAGCTTGTAATACCCTGTCCAGATTTTCTGCAGCCGAGTCCAGGCATCCATCCATCAGTAGATAGAGCTGGGTGTCATCTGCGTATTGGTGACCACCCAGTCCATAACTCCAGATAATCTGGGCGAGGGGAGCACGTGTAGATATTAAACAACATTAGAGAGAGAATTGACCCCTGCGGCACACCACATTCTAGCAGATGTCACTGAGATAATTCCCCCCCCTCCAAGTGCCACCCTCTGTCCCTGACCCTGGAGAAAGGAGGTCAGCCACTGCCAGACAAGCCCCCTTATCCCCACAATGGCAAGGTGGTGGGTCAACAGATCATAGTCAACCGTATTGAACACTGCTGACAGATTAAGAAGTATCAGCAGCACCAATTCGCCTCGATCCAGGTGTCTCCAAAGGTCATCCACTAAGGCAACCAACACCGTCTCCGTCTCATGGGCAGGGTAAAAACCATACTGGAAGGGATCCAGGATATTAGCATCCTCTAGGAAGACATGGAGCTGTGTTGCCACCACAGGTAGGCTATTCAGTGGGAGGCCATTAGTTCGAAGTATCAGAAAGTTCTGAGAGGGTCCATGAGAATCAACAAAATCATTCTCCCAATTCATCTACCTGCACATTGTCCCAATAATGACCAAGTCAGTTTCTGTCTCCAAACTGTATGGGCAGTCAGCTTGGTATAACTCTACTTACTCTGCATCACTCAGAATTGCAGCAGTAGGCCACAACCGATTGCTGGAGCACCATATTCTCGAAAAGTATATTAGCAACCAGCTAATGGTTAAACATACCTTTAAGGAAGAGCAGTGGTTGTGTTCTCTCTTGCCCTCTCAAAATCTTTACCTCCCGGATATAGCTGACCACCCCATAATCGCTACAAGTAGCCTACCACAAAGGGCAAGGGCTGAGCACACAGATGGTAGGCCCCACCCCTATAAGCTCCCTGGCAGCATCTCCAGGGTACGTCATCATAAAGGACTGTACTACCAAATACCATAGCAACCCAAATGCAAATCTTGTGCAATGAACACACAATACAGTGGTTACCATTAGGAAAGAGAACAAAACCATATTATTTCCCCATCGATCATATTCAGCAGTATTCCCATGCTCATCTTAGGCTAAATGTCCAATATGTTATATTTTTGGAGATGGAAAAGTAAATTACAGGAAGCAAACGTATTGTGATTGGTATGTTAGTGGCATTTCCAAAATCTCACAAAAATCAGCTAAAAATTCTGGAGAGTGCTAAAAATCCTTTTAATACAGAAATGCATAAATGAGTAATGTGCCAGTTAGTGACCATCTTGGACAAGATTTAACCAAGTGGCTGACAGATCCTACAAGCTAGGCTTCAACAGTACGTGGGTAGAGAACTGCCAGAAGTACAAGCTGGGTTTCGAAGAGGTAGAGGAACTAGAGATCAAATTGCCAACATTGCTGGATTATGGAGAAAGCAAGAGAGTACCAGAAAAACATCTACTTCTGCTTCATTGACTATGCTAAAGCCTTTGACTGTGTGGATCACAACAAACTATGGCAGGTCCTTAAAGAGATGGGAGTACCAGACCACCTCACATGTCTCTTGAGAAACCTGTATAAGGGCCAAGAAGCGACAGTTAGAACCGGATATGGAACAACTGATTGGTTTCGCATAGGAAAAGGAGTACGACAAGGATGTATATTGTCGCCTTGCTTATTTAATATATATGCAGAGTACATCATGCGAAATGCTGGCCTAGATGAATCACAAGCGGGCATTAAGATTGCTGGGGAAAAGATCAACAACCTCAGATATGCAGACGATACCACTCTGATGGCAGAAAGTGAAGAGGACCTCAAGAGCCTCTTGCTCAGGATAAAAGAGGAGAGCGCAAAAGTGGGCTTGAAGCTCAACATCAAAAAAACTAAGATCATGGCATCCGGCCCCATCAGTCCTTGGCAAATAGAAGGGGAAGTCGTGGAAGTATTGACTACCTCTTTCAATAGTCTTTCAGTAGTCATGTATGGCTGCGAGAGTTGGACTATAAGGAAGGCCGAGCGCCGAAGAATAGATTCTTTTGAACTATGGTGCTGGAGAAGACTCTTGAGAGTCCCTTGGACTGCAAGAAGATCAAATCAGTCAATCCTAAAAGAAATCAACCCTGACTGTTCCCTGGAAGGCCAGATAATGAAACTGAAGCTCAAATACTTTGGCCACCAAATGAGAACGGGGCACTCACTGGAGAAGACCCTGATGCTGGGAAAGATTGAAGGTCAAAGAAGACGGGGACGGCAAAGGATGATATGGTTAGACAGTGTCATAGATGCAACAAACATGAAATTGAGCACACTTCAGAGGACAGCGGAAGACCGGAAGGCCTGGCAGGAGCTGGTCCATGGTGTCGCGAAGAGTCGGACCCGACTGTGCGACTGAACAACAACTGACAGTGTCTCTCTCCAATGTACTCCATGTCTTTTAAAGATGTGAAAATATGAATCCTCATTCTAAAAAAATAAGCCACTACAGAACATTGGATGAACACAGCAAATATTTTGAATACTTTGCTAATATATAGGTTTGTTTAGCA